TGGCAAATGTAGTTAAGTAAAAAGTAGATTAGTGGCTCAAAAATATACTCAAGTAAAGAGTAGATGTGCAGTTTTAAAAAAGGAACTTGAAAAGCACTCGTTCCTTACTTCTAACCGTTACTACCCACCTGAGTCATTGTGCATTTCACAATCCTACTAGTCTCTACTCCTTTCAATAGATTTAAATGACTGTCAAAATGACTGCTAACAATGTTAGCTGCTCTATTTCACATCCACTGTGTGTTTGCATTTCAGTTTAAGAGTAACGGTGGCAGCTTTGTCCTTGTCCTATTGTGCAGACAGCTACATTATACATATGAAGAGTACTTAAAAGGAGTAGAAAACAACTGAAAACACAAAATGAAGATTTCCAACAATGTCCAGTACAAATATATATTTTTTAATGAGCAGATACAGATAGTAGTTTTGGGTTACACCTCTACAGAATTGCTCTGAGACTCTAATTAACATACTGTGCTATACTATTGGTTGTCATTGGAGCAATGTCCTGAAGAGACTATTTTCAGAGTAAATTTCATATTAAAATATTCACAGGAAAGCTTCTCAGTCTTTTGTATTATAATAAACTACTATAATGGAAAATACTGTCTATATTTATCCCACGCTAAGCCTACAGCATGCTAGTAAGCTTTTCAAGATAGGGATACTTACCAAAACCCCTCAGGGTTACTTTTTTTTGTTGGTACAAGGCAATGTGTGAGCTGTGCAGGGGAGTCGTTTTGGGGCTGATAACATGAAGCACTGTGGAAGTAAATGATGACAATAAGGCACAGAACCTTCCTCGTGCTCCTCAGCCGATCCTGAACAGAGTTCAACAAAACGCTGATGTTATGTATCAGAGAGCACACAGTAGCCTTCGCATACTGTTCATAGAATTGAAGGCATTACATGCTGTATTTGCTCGAAAATCTCTGTATGGTTCTACATTGGGGTAGAGCACTGTAGTCTTTATGAAGTCTTTATGAAGTCTTCATGAAGTCTTGGGGTCTTGGGATCACAGTGGGAAACTTCAAACATTTTTAAGGTAATAATAAGACCCAAAAAAATAGAGTTCAGACAAGGAAAGTGTAAACTTGGTTAAGCTTTCATCCCTCAGGGTAGTGTCCATGAACTACAGACTGTCAAGAAGCACGGTTGGAGTTGTTGAGGCTCCTGCTATTGTGGCAAAGGTCAGTTAAAGCACCAGCAGATCAGAAACAAGTCTACCCGCCTGTTTTGTGACTGCACAGAGCCTAATAATGCCACATCGGGTTAGCCTTGAAAATGAGGCTCTTTTCTTCCTGCATCTTTTTTTCCCCAACTAAAAAGAGGCTAAACATCTGTGGTACAGAAAGACTGTTCAGTCAAGCCTTGTTTTGGTGCTAATTAGTCCAATTAGCCTTCCCCATCTCACACAGTTTTAAACAAAGACGAGCAGCAGCTCTGTTCAGCTTAACCAGCTCTGCAGTTTGATGTCTGGTAGCGCTGAAAAGCTGCAGAAGCCTCTAGTTACAGACACAGACGCAGGCTACTTTAAACAGTTTCAGGGCATCCTTCCTTCACAGGATAAAACTGCACCCTGCCATGTCTTTTGAAATAGTCTGTGGATGTCCCTTTAGCAAGATTTTAGCACAGAAATATGGTTTTGTGCAGGAGAAGTCAGACTGCAGAGAGGAGTAAAATTCCCACAGCTGTAATTTCATGATTAGCGATGCTGAAGGGCACGTTCCATATTGGTCGCGTGCACTGTGTGATAACAGATTTCATGAGGAGGTGCAAATGAACCTGTTAGATACAGCTGAACAGAGAACTACAAGGAAATGAGTTATTCTGAACATAAGAAGAATAATTAATCACTCCTCAACAACAGCCTCTTCACAGAGGCAGTTTATCATCATGAATCAACCCCCATCTTCTCTCAATTATTTCTCTTTAATAAACACAAATTATAGAAATCACTCTACCTTCTAATGACGGAGAGAACAACGAGACAGAACATTTGAATTTTTCAAATATTTCCTCCTCGAGGCAGAGCAGCAGTAATAATTCACCAGTTTCTGCAGAAGAAAACAAGATTTCTGTAGTGGTTTCATTGAATTCCCATGCTTTGTGTCTCAAGAGGAAATAATACATTCAGATGTTTTTATTTTCTTTCTATAGACTTGAAGAAGCAGTCTGGGGGTCAATATATAAAAGCACAGCGCTTTTTGCAAATGCCTTACACCCGCTCCTGTGATAAAGATAAATCTAAAACCTAGATCATTTTCAGCTTTGTCTCTTTTGTTCTTTCTTTCTGCTTTAATTATTGAAAAATTGAGCTTTTTAAAGCCACTACGTGTAAACATTCAATGTAATTACAGCACACCGCAGCAGAAACACAAAGCAAGTGCTAATGTTGCTCAGTATCTGCTGGCTGTGTAAAGAGTCTGCTAAGAAGTTATCAGATTAAAAGGTGTTAACAGGTTCAACATTGGCAGCACAGTTCTGTGGTGTGTTAGAGTAGGTAGGTGAACTACGAATTAGGGATGCACCGAAATGAAAATTTGTGGCCGAAGCGGAAGCCGAATAATATTAAACGCTTGGTCGAATACCGAGTATCGAATACCGAATATCGTTGTTTAGTTTTTCATTAGTTTTTGCAGATGAACCCCCTCCAGATTAGTGTCACGGTACCAAAATTGGATCCCACTGTACGATACCAATGAAAATATCATCGTTCTGAGTAGTATCACGATATCACAGCGAAAATGAGGCAGATGTGCCTTTTGTCATTTATAAAAAGATAAATCACTTTTCTATAATACATAAATGATATTTCAATGGAATAAATTACTTATTGACTTATTCATACTTCAAAAACAGCATGAATGAGAGATGAACATAGGGGGGATCAAAATAAAATAAATAAATAAAATAAGAATCAACCAGCCACCCTCCTCCCCTTCATAAGTAAAGAACAGTTCCTAAAGTGCGGTGAGGTTTGTGGGCCGTGAACGGCTCGTTTCTCCTCTGACACGTCACATACCTGTGTTCGGCTGGCTCGGCTGTTCAGGTACTTCCGAGCAGTCCACACGCCAAGAAGAGGATATTATTGGAGCTGACTTCTCCGTGCCGGTAAGCCGATGGCCGCCGTATTTGACAGGAATACATTACTGTCTGTGTCTGTGACCCCCGTTCAACCCACAATCGGTGGGATTCGCCTTTCATTTCTGCTGGTGGTTGAAATCTGTAGGCTGCTCGCACAGCGTGCTGAATGATTTAAGCCTATTTTGCTCGCTCAAAACTATTTTTAGTCGCAAATGCGTGCGGTGACGGATGGATCACCACACTGCCGACATTTTAATCTGCCCGTCACGGCAAGCTGTTTGATTGCGTTATCAAAACGGCGCAGCTATTATTCGGCCTTGCTTTTAACTTATTCCACCGAATACCGAATGTGTGTTTTTTTGCAATATTCGGCCGAATATATTCGGTTACCGAATATTCGGTGCATCCCGACTACGAATAATGCGAGGGGCAGGTGATCGCGGAAGATTTCAAAAACAGCGTGCGGAAAATGGCAGAGGGAGAGCGAGAGAGGTTGGTCTGTGTGTGGGCGCACGTGTCTGTGTGTGTGTGTGTCTGTGTGTGTGTGTGTGTGTGTGTGTGTGCGCATTAGGGCCGAACTCCGCCGTGCACGATACAGAGAGCAGAGGAGAAATGTAAACATGCGACAGAAATGACATGCCGTTGTGTAAACAATATAAGTCATCACGTGCGCCGCATAATCGTTTGCATAATCATGATTTCAATTTTGACCAAAATAATCGTGATTATGATTTTTTCCATAATCAAGCAGCCCTACTTTTATCTCTGACACAACACCGGAAGGAAGAGCAGGTCCATGGAGCTGTGCGCCGGACAAAAAAACAAGTGTGTCACACCGAATGTGCACCGCTACGGTAGGGCTGCACAATTAATCGAATTTTAATCACGATCACGATTTTGGCTGCCACGATTAAATTAAGATGATCGTCGGCGATTTTAACATTTAAAAAGCGGGCTCTGTTGCATATCAAATCAAGCACTTTCTCAACCCAATAGTCAGCCGACCACCAGGGGGCGACCGAAAGGTTAGGGCTTCATTAAGCTGCCTAAACAGCAAGCGAGCGTACCCTGCAGCAGCGGCAGCCTCAAATGATTCAACAGTGTGAGAGCGGGTGTGAGACGCAATGTCGGGAGCAGCATCTGGAGGTGAGGAGCTGCTTGTGCCTCGTAAGGGCTCAACATCCATTGTGTGGAGGTTTTTTGGGTTCGCGGAAAGTGATGCTGACCAGAAGGCGGTCCTATGCAAAGAGTGTCTGCGCCACAAGGCAACACAACAACAAACAAGGCAACAAACAAACTAAGAAATAAAACATCTGTATCTTAACTGACTAAAATTTTACTGTGTGTGTGTTTAGGTGATTTGTATCTATTTATGTACAGTTTTTGGCCTTTTATTTCATGTGATGCTGGGACAAACTAATTTCCCTCCTCGGGGATCAATAAAGTTCAATTCAGTTCAATCCAATCTTAAAACAACACATGAAAATAAAAGATTTAAAAGGAAGTGTATGCAAGGTTTGTTTTGTTTTAATTATGAATCTCATTTTCTTTTACAGAGAATGCAATGAAAGATCCTCGGATTGACCACGCAGTAGGGATCTGCAAAAAACTTGTGAGCAGTTTTTCCTCCAGCTTGAGGCGTAAAAAAGAGCTAGCACAGGCTCAAAAGGAGCTGAAGCTTCCAGAAGGTGGGGGTCAAGACAGGCAATGATTGAAAGAGTCCTGGAGCAGCAGACATCCAGACATCTCATCCCATCATGGCAGGACACTGAGATCCTCGAAGCCATCCACAAATCCCTCCACCCTTTGACTGAGTTTACTGATGCACTGTCCAGTGAGAAGTATGTCAGTGTTTCCTTTGTGAAGCCAGTCCTCCATCTCTTCAGTTCCTCCATCCTCAAAGTGAACGATGATGATTCAGAGCTCACAAACACCATCAAGACAAAAATCCTAACTTACCTGGAGGAAAAATACAAGGATCCTGAGACACAAGAGTTGCTCGACATGGCTTCTGCTCTGGATCCCCGTTTCAAGCTGCGATACGCAAGTGAGGACAGGGTAGAACCAATCAAAGCCAGACTTGTGTCTGAGATGGCTGCATCTGTGAGCATGGTAAGTAATAATTGTAGATACACCATTTATCATAAATTCAAGAAACTAAGTGGATTGAAATGTGCTGAAAAGTAATAAATGTGCTGTAATCTACATTCTGAATGTGGATGTCAAATATATTTCATTTGACTGAATTTGTTATTCATATTTTATTTACCATGTACTTTTCAAAGAGCAGGGCCCAAGTGATGGTGGGACTGCAGACAGGGCAGAGGATACACCCAGCACATCCAAGAGAAAGAAGACCTTGGGGAGCTTCTTCAAGATCACTGAGAGAGCCAGCCCAACCCATCCTCCTCACCAAGCTGTAGCCTCTGAGCTTCAGTCCTACCTGCAGTGTGCTGACCTTGATAGTGAGGAGAACCCACTGGACTGGTGGAGGGAACATCAGCGAGTCTACCCGCGACTGTCAAAGCTGGCCAAAAAATATTTGAGCATACCTGCAACAAGTGCCCCTTCCGAGAGGGTCTTCAGCACTGGGGGAAACATAGTGACCTGCCTTCGGTCATCTCTGAAACCAGAAAGTGTTGACAGGCTGGTGTTTCTCGCCAAAAATCTGTAGGCCTGTACTAGTATGTTCCTGTTCCTTGTAGTATGTGCCTTTTCTGCATAGGCTTCATTTTTTTCATGTGTTTGCACTTTATGATTGCACTTTGCACTGGCATATTTAATTTTTGCCCTTTATCTTGGGTAAATTTTATTTTATTATTTATGATTTATGATTATTTTAAGTTTCAATTTGAAGACTTGTCCACATAATGTTTCTTTAAAAAAGAAAGTGCAATAAAAAGACATGTTTTACCAAACATAATGAATAATCTTGATTAATAATCGTGATTACAATATTGATCAAAATAATCGTGATTATCATTTTGGCCATAATCGTGCAGCCCTACGCTACGGCGTCGCTTTAGGTTTTGAGCGCGCATGACGCGCTTTTACATTGAAAGTAATGGGTTTGTGCGCGCAATAGATGCTAGATCTGAACGCCCCCCATGCACACACACGCTTTAACCAAGGCGGCAGCCAAAATCACCCAGGTGGCCCAGCTTTGTGTTAAAAACGCAGGGAAAACCCTGCATACAAAACCAGATGTTAGCATGTATTAGCGGGGTTTTTTGTGCAGTGGGAAAGAGGCTTGAGTAACCAGAAACATTTACTCCATTCTCTACTGAAATACACTGCTGAGGTACTTGTACTTTATCCATAAAAAGAAAAGTGTATGTAGCTGTAATTGATTATAAATGCTTTACATAAACTAAATACAAAATAAAAGAAAACAGCAGTTAACTCAGACATAATCTAGATTATTTTAAAATAATCCAGAACCTTTTAGTTTGACTTTTCTATATAGGGCCAGCAGTATAATATTAATTATTTCCTCAACATTTTACTTGTGTTTTTATTATGGCACCAACAACTATAGAAGAAGATAAGTCAAGAAATAACAGACTGTAGATGTGAGAGAATATACCACATGTTTACAAAGATATTTTCATTCTGTTTTTCATTTGTTAACATGTTAACAGTAAAGGGAGGCCGTGTTAACTTGGGTTAAAATCCCTTTTCTGTAGGCTATTGTATATATACATATATATTAGGGCTGTCAAAATAACACGGTCATTTCAATTAATTAATTAATTAACACTGATTAATCATGTTCCATGGTGCCCTTTGACCCTGTGCGTCATTAAAGGCCCTGTGAGTGAAACATTTAAAAACCACCCAGATGAAAGTCTTGATCGGAGCACCGTTCTCTGCAGTTGCTGCAATAAGGAACCATCTGAGTACTTCCTGAAAGCCTGACATATCATCTCAACGCAAAGTCTTTAGCAACGAACTCTGAAATCTGAGCTAGCACAGCCTCTGATGCTAGCACTAGCAGCCAGCCTCATCAAGCCACACTCGACCAGGCATTCAGACGCAAACTGAGTAAGTCTACTAGTGACCAACTAACTAACTCCCTCGCAAAATGGTTTGCAATGGACTGCAGACCAGTTTGGGTGTTAGAGGGCAGGGGCATAACTGTGTCCAAAATCCATCAGCTTTACTACGACATATCTGCCAAAATTCATCTGAATTAAATTTGTTTAAATACTTTGTAAATTTGAATTAAATTTACATATTTATCTATTTATATTTGGCCAACAAATTTGGGGGCGTGGTGGCCCATGGGAGCACCATTTAAGAATATTAGTGTCTATTCCTGGATAACATGTAACTGTTGCCTCCAAGTGGCCAAAAAAATCCATTATAGGAGGTTTAAGTAAGTACTTTATGGTATCTACAGTATGTATGAGGCTGCACATGGGGAGCCAGCAGAAGTTCAAGGCCCCATGCTCCTGCAGTCCTTCATTGAGTCTCTTATAACCACACAGCTCACACGGTAAAGAGATTATTAAATGGATTTTACATCCCGTGTACTGGTTGCTGTGGTACCAAATGCCTCTTTTCTGCTTCATACTGTAAACGTGATTCATGTTCGCTGTTGGCTAACTGACACACGGGCTACAGTAGCTGCTGAGAAATTAACATCCCTCTGCCTTCTCTCACATGGTTTATAATTGCAGAGCAAACCTCTCAGAGGAGCGCCACAGAAATCGAACCATAGCGACCTTCTGCCAGTGATCAAAGCTACCTCAACCAGCCCCCCCCCACCCACCAAACACCCCACCCCAACCCCAACCCAAGAGACGAAACGAGAGAGAGCAAGGAAGAGAGACGGAGAGATGGAGGGAGGGAGAGAATCCACACAAACCATCTCACGTCTCAGCAAGAGCTACCTGCTTTACATATGAAACACACCTTTCTCCCTTTAATTCCCATGAAATCACGCAGGAAGCGGTTATTGCAAAGGGGGAGGAAGTGATGTGGAACGGCTAGAGGGGCCATTACAGAGAATCCCTCATTACACCCTGGTCACAGCTTTGGAGTATTACCCCTGTGAAAACACACTCTCTCCCTTGGGTGGATAAGTCAAAGAGAGTAGATTGTCTCATCTTATTTCTTCTCTTTGTGCCTGGTCTCTAGACAGGTATGGCAGGGTTAAACTTGTCAACACGCACCGCTTTAGCTCACTGTAGAACCAACAGACAGGCGGGTTTAGATCTCTCTGAGCTGTGAGTGAGTCTAAAGAATTTTCTCTTGTATCTTTATATTCCTAACTTTGATTGAAATGGAGACAGATCCTCACAACACAGCTCGATCTGTGATCAATCAATCAATTAATCTACCCACCTGTCTTTATAAGGGTTGCTAATTTGCAGAAACGGCGACTTAACCACTGAAGTAGAATATGAAGCTCGATGAGAGAAAAAGGAGGCTTCCTTGAGGCGTCTTGTTGCATTGCAGAGTAATATGAGTTGTTTGGCAAGACATCAGAGAGGAAAAACATCCTGACTCATCCATCAGATATACATGTGGATCCATTAAGCCAAGTTTCTCCATTCATTAGGAGATGCAGTCTACAGTAGACAGTTTGCAGGAATATATTGAGAAATGCTGAAATAACATGGATTATAAATCACACCAGCCACACCACAAGTAAGGAAAAAGCTACCATGTTTCATAATGACATATTAACTGATTTTTATGGCTTTACACAGTGGGAATCACCACAGGACGATACTTCAGTCACAATACAATATTACTGCAATTTTAAACGTGTTGCAATATGCTGAGTATTGTGATAAAATATAATCCGATATATTGCAAATAATGTCCTCAAAGGAAACTCTGTGTTGTTTGATAAAACCTTTTTTTTACCCAGTAAGATAAAGTTTTCATTCTGTTCAGATACATTTTGAAGCAGCAAAACATATCCAGTGGACTGAAAAAGCAACTGATTATATTATTCTAATAGGCTACCTAAAGTTTAATTCACATATGTAATATTAATAATTTGTATGATTAAAAAAATCGATACATGGCACTGCATGATGCTATGATATTGCCACTAAAATATATCATGATACTTTGCTGTATCGATTATTTCCCCTGCCCCTAATGGCTCTATTGCAATTAAGTTCCATTGGTTGGTCTGCCACTTGAATCAAGAACAAAATATCTCAACTGTTGGATACTGACTTTGTGTGATCCCCTAACTTTCCCTCTATCACCACCATGACGTTGATTTTTATGGTTTTGAGTAAAATGTCAACAATTATTGGATGGATTACCACTGTAAATCACAAGTTTCATCCCATTACGATATATCGATTCTTTAAAGACAATACAATATTTATGGATATCACAAAATTTGCAACAAGACAATATAATTCAATTCAAGTCAGGGCTCTGAAATCAATATGAGATAATAATAATATCCTCATCATCTTTTTCTTGGCTGCTTTCCATTAACTGCCTGACGCAAGGCCACTAGCACTGTTTGAATGTTTAGGAAGGAGCTCGGATTGAAATGGTGACACAGACACACCATGGGAATTTCAAACTAAAGGGCATATCTTAAAGACGTCAACATGTACTGATGTTTTCACTTTTCATCAATAATACTGAATTGCTGATAACTGAATCACATATATCGATCCAGATTGATGTGTCATTACACCACTCATAAAGATTCCCAGTAGCTGCATAATTGTGGGTGGGGAGTAATAAGGGGGAGCTAAACACTTTGCCCTGAGTAACAAATATGATAACAACAAATAATGATAAGTGTTTCTACCATAATGTGCCTCTTACTGCCATAAAATGAAGGTCTGGTGTTTTTCTTCTGAGGTCCACTTGATCAAACCAGGCTTATATGCATGCACGTGCCTCAGTGAGTTGAAGACTGTCTTTATATCTCACTGTGACTATACACACCGCACCTCAACACAACACTGCAGCCGTGCACAGTCAGAGAAATCACTTTACAGCCAGAGGCAAAACTGCATACCATCAGCTCACAACATTAATACCATCATCAATCAATTATATGTGCAATAAAAATGCTGTAAATTGTAGCCAGCATAAAAACAGCCACTTTCACTAGACAAAGATAACCATCAACAGAGTGGCACCACTGACAGGACAGGTGTTACACCAAATTATGTAGCCCTTCAGAACCCATGACCCAGCCCGTACAACTATAACCCCAACCACTAAACAACGATTTTTAAGGAGGTCTGGCACTGGTACAAAGTTCACTAACTGCCCACATGGCTTATTATCATCACCAGTGGTCAAAAAGAAAACATACAACATAGCTAGCACACACATTAATAATGACATAAATAAACACACTGTCCTAACAATAATACTAGGTTCCTTAATTGACAGCAAATGGATTAAAATTATGTGTACTCACAGAGGAAAACTGCCACAGCCTTCATGTCCAGTTCCTCACTTCTCATGGAGCTGAGCAGAGTCAGGTTGCTGGTAGTCAGGTATCTCTAGCCGACGTAGGCAGGAAAAACTCAGGTGAATCAGACATGGCGTAAATCCCAACGGTTGCTTTCTGTCAATATGGGCTTTGCCCAGTGAAGTTCAGCAGACAAATTAGCGTCATTTACTCCACAATGTTGAGACGTTTCTCTTCATCAGTCAACTCCCCGCTCGCTCGTTTTAATGGCGCAACAAACTGGTCCATAAAATACCACACAGCCACTGCGCAAAAACTTATTTTTAACTCAAGGCTAACGTGTAGCTTAGCTAGCTAATTCACATAAACT